GTTAGCAAAACTATAATGAATCAGACTCTAAAGCTTGTGAGGAGCAACCTTCGTGTAATCTTAGGTGAAAAGTAAACACAAGATTTCAGCTTTTTCCTTAAACTAAAGTTAAATCTTATCTGAATAAGATTTACATTACCATTCGAACTCGTGCAGATTATACAGTAGTTTTCCCTGACACTGATCTTAGTACAATAAATGTTTCAGTGTAAGACATCAGAGTTTCATCAGTGTTCCTGTGTTAGTAAATCAAATCTTAAAAGATCAATAAGAAGCTTAACATGAAAGCACGTCTACACAAATCCTTTGTATGATATACAGAGTGGAGATCCTCAATTTGGTCTCAGGCACTGTGAGCGCAGAAGCCTCCAACACCCACCATCCAAACCTTTTGTTAGTGAAGACTAGCCAATCAGAATAAAACTGGTTTAAAGATGAAGAGGGCTTAAACAGCTCGTTTCAAACAGTGCACTGCAGGAGGAGCTGCAAAGCTAGCAGAGTCAAATAATATAAATATGTAGAGTTTGATGCCCAAACTGTGTATTTTTTAAAAAGAAGAAGAATTGAATTTGAAAGCAGAAAAAAAATATAATCAGTGTACTAGAGCTTTTATGGTGGGTTGTTTTTTTCGCTTTTACAGTTTAACGTGTGCAATCGAGACTTTGAAAGTCATTGATACAGCTGACAGCACTAGAAAACACCATGTGACTGGATGTAGTCTTCCCATGATGCTTTGTGCTAACACACGTGATTAATGAATGTGGATCTCGTTATCCTGCTCATAACGAGATGGGGAGGCTTCCAGTGACAAAATATATTGAAAGCACAACGCTGCCAGCTGACTTACGAAGCAAATACTCAGAAAAATGCAGAAAGAGAAACGAGAAAGTGACACAAAGCGGTTCCACAGAAATATATTTCACGACGCGTTGGAAAAATTAAGAAAATGCAGCTGTGAAAATCAGTCACAGCCCGATGAAAGTACATCAGAGGCCTCTCTCACTTGTCATCTCTGCACGATACGACACGCTGCTCGGCAACACACGACTCGGCTGTCCTCGCATGAACCTCGCTGGCTGACAGAAATGTGTGTGAGGTTGCGTGCGCACATGTGCCTGTATGTGTGCGACTGCCTTTAATGCTCCCACAAGGTCTTTCTAAATCTGCACGATGAATTATGTGCAGTTTGTGTGTCACGTGTGCAGCTTGTTTATCTTCATTTGTGCACAACAGTAAAAATACCCGGAAATCACGTAGACGTGTGTTTGTGTGTAGTATTATGAACATTCTTGCAGAAAAAGCGTATGCAGATTTGAAGCATGTGGCATGTGAGTCTTGCAAAAAGTCTGCTCAACAAAGGTTTCATTGACATTTTGGATTTTGAATTATAAAAATTGAGCTGGGTTAAGATTCTGTTTCAGTGAAACTGTGGTCAGCAATTTATTTATCATCATCAGTCTGGCATGCATCAATGCTAGCTAACTAGCATTAAGTCAATACTGGTCTCTTTCCATAAGATTCAATACAAACAGGTATTTTGCATCCAAAGCCATCATTCCCTTAGGCACAGAGGTCCATTGTTTGTCCAGGAACTGCTAAAAACACAGTGAGTTACGCTGTTGCATTGACTGATGTGTTCTTTTCAGAAGACATAATTTACTTCGACTCGGTCCTACATATATCGCCCTGCTGCCCCAAATAATCACTCAAGCAGTAAATGTGTGTTAATCCATCACTACAAATAGTCCTCAGCTGTTTGGGGAAATCACTGAGCATTTTTTTCTTTTTTGCCAGGAAAAAAACCAAAACAATTTGTTGAAAGATTTGTGTATTCAGCAGGAAGCAGTGGGACTGCCAAAGATAATCATAGGAGTGCCTGAGCTAGAGAGAGCCAGAAAGCACTGAGCAAATATAGAATAATGCCAGATGTCCCATTTAATTTTATGACTTTTTTTTTTAAACCAAATCTTCATCTGTTGTTTAAGATACAGAAAACCCACAGACAAGGTAAACAGCAATGACATCATCTTTCTTACAGATTATTAAGTTTTTGTTTCCTTTAAAAAGGTACAGTTTATAAAATCGCACCACTAGATGTCAGAAGATTGCAGATCGCAGAGTTTCTTCTATATTTCTTAGCTATGGTGGCTGCTGTGAGACAAAAAAGTCTTACAGCTGTTTATCTCTAGTGAATGTAGACGGCAGTCCGCTGTTTACCTCAGATGGTGTTCACGTCTATTTACTCTGGAGGAGGACGAAAAACTGATACGAGTGGATGAATCAGTGAAGCTCACCTCTGCAAGTGACAGCAATACTGAGTTGAGCTGTTGAGGATATCCTGTGCTTTTCTCTCAAAGCGCTACTGTTTTTTTTGCTAATAGCTGCCGTTAGCCTCTGTTAGCTGCCGTTAGCCTCTGTTAGCTGCCGTTAGCTGCCGTTAGCCTCAGTTAGCTGCTGTTAGCTTCTATTAGCAAAACTTTCTTTAAAATCTCCCAAACATTGCTGGACTTGGACAGACAAATAATTCTCATACAATGTGAGAATGTAATGTATGTATTTATTTTTTTATCAGAGTGAAAGATTGACTTTTAGGATAAAAACATGTTACCCTATAACTGGCTGTTGGTATTCCCAGTTGTCAGCTGTCTAAAGACGGGAGGGTCTAATGTGCTGACAATAAGTAATTGTGACAGTATTGGGAATAAATATTCATGTTTATGCACGTTTTTATTTGTTAGAGCCCCGACTTGAGTTCAGGAGATGAAGTGGATGATTAGGTGGAACTGTGACGTGCATCTCAGCCAGTATTTTCAAGATGGTGGGGGAATGTGGCGGCTTCCACAAACAGACACCCGCTCCTTTTTCTATTTAATGGATTAATTCTAAGTTTGAGAAAATGCATCAGTTTGTTGGATAATATAATTCCACAATAATCAATGTATATTTGTGAGTCTGTTTTTCGATTAAATAACCTCAAAAAATGAATGAATGTACATTTAAAGGTTATTTTCTACATGTTTTAATATTAAATATTGTGGGAAGTAAAGACTTAAATCTATTTACGCTTCTAAAAATTGGCAACAGAATTAAGATTTAATAATAGTCAGATACCACGTTACATTCACCCACCTCATACTAGTTAAATATTGACACTCAGCTGCCTTCAGTGGTTGGCAGGAGTCTATGAGTGTTTTCTAAGTGCTGACACTTTCCATCATTACCACCAACTTGTGCTTAAGCAAGCCCGGCCTTTACAGCCATGCACCTCAAAGGGACCAGACGCTTCATCACCCTGTCACCAGTTAACCTGTTTTAAGTCCAATGACAACCTTTGGTAAGTAATAGCCCCTAAATACAACAAACATCCAACAAGTGCTGTCATTTAGAAGATACCCTAACCCCGTCATTCAGCAATTACATTTTCACCCTGATCAAAGTCAATCAGACACTTGCCCATTTCCCAAGCTTCCAATAAAACTAGATGC